CCCCCCCCCCCAGTGCACAGCACATGCGCAGTGCCAGCTCTGGGTGCGTGGCGCATGGGCACGCCCCTGTCCCAGGCGCGCAGCACATGCACGGTGCTGGCCCTGGGCGCAAGGTGCGTGGGCGTCCCTGCCCGTGGCATGTGGCACGTGCACGGTGCCGGCCCGGGGTGCATGGGTGACCCTCCTCAGGTGTGCAGCGCATGCGTGGCCCCACCCCTAGAAGCCCGGCGCGTGAGCGGCCCCGCCCCCGGGCGCCCGGCAGCCATGAAAGGTTGGGGACCACTGGCCTAGTTAACCCATGATGTAGCTGGAAAGCTGTGTATTTGCAATGCAAATAGTAGAAATAGGTTTTTTAAATTTCACCTTGAAAGCTGGTGCTTGAGGAAAGGCAGGTTTAATTAGAGGAGGAGGAGGAGGTAGATGGAGATTCTGAAGGGGGCTTCTGGGCATCCCCTGGGGCTTCTGTGGCCATCCCCATCCCCCAGCTGTCCTTCTCTTCCTCCACAGACTGCACCCAGCCCCTGTTCATCAGGTGGCAGCGAACAGTGTAAGTGCGGGCCAGAGGACTCTGGAGGAGCAGGGGTCGGCTGTGCAGTCAGCAACTGGACAGAAGAGGTGGTTCCTGCTTCCAAGTGTCGCTTCTCTCCAGCCGCTGGCTGAGCAACAGCACTTGCATTGCTCACTACCACCTGTGACTCGTCTGCTCTCTGAGGCTGCAGGGGAGCTATTGTGTGTTTTATGTGTATTGGATGTTCGGATGCTTGTAACTCAGAGAGTGCCTGCATGTGTGTATTTGTTCTATGGCCTACACAGGTCCGCTGCTGAGCTGGATCTGACTCAGCCAGGGTATGTCTCCACTAGCCACCTAGTTCGAACTAGGGAGGCTAATGTAGGCATACCTGCAGGTGCTTTAGTTCATGCCTAAGGCTAGGTCTACTCTAGGGGAGAAAGTCGACCTAAGATACTTGACTCCAGCTATGAGACTAGCATAGCTGGAGTTGACCTACCTTAAGTCAAATTTCTGTAGCATCCCCACTGTGAGAAGTCACTGGAAGAAGCTCTCCCATTGACTTCCCTTACTCCTCACAACCTGGTGGAGTAGCAGGGTTGATAGAGGAGCCCTCTGTGGTCGCTTTAGCAGGTCCTTAGTAGACCCACTAATTGAACCCCGGGAGATTGATCTCCAGAGCGTCGATCTTGGGATAAGTGAAGACAAGTCCTAACTATAAACATTTATCAGTTCCATCCACTTCAGGCATTTGCTCAAGGACCTTTCTGAATCAGAGCCATGCTCATCCTTAGGCCTTTGTACTGCTGAGCCTGGGCACTAAGGGGTGACACTCATCCAAGAGCTCCATCTCTTGCCCTGGAAGATTTAGTCAGCATCTGACCACAGAGCCCACCTGGGGCTGCATGATCATTGCTACTGCTGTCGCTTTTACAGCAGCAGCAGCAGCCAAATCGCTGACAGTGCTGTGTTTAGCTACGACAGTTCTGTTACAAATCCATGGGAATTTTACCAGTTAATTCCATGTGGTTTTGGAAGAGAAGGACATTGTGGCTGTCTGCGTGTGCTAGATATTTCCAGGGCATTTCTTCACAAGATCTTTTAAAATTAAAACTCAGTGGTTTCCATGTCTTCTGCCTGTTTTTGTAAATCACGACAGACAGTGTTAAGGCTCTTACCTGTGGAAACATAAATTCTTGAATATGTGCCCATTTTTGTAATTTCCCTATTTGCAGGCAAATCAAGTGTTTCTTCTTCTGGTCTCCTACTTGGGTTCTCTGAATTTATGCCAAGTTTATCATGAAAATAATTTTTTTTTCATATTCTGTGTCTCAGAAGGGCACAGGATTAAGAAGGTCTGGATGTTCCTAGCAGCTCTGCCTGTATTTTGCATGGCTCCCAAAGGAGTTGCCTTCTGCTCCATGGAAGAATTCCTATCTTAACCTGTCCATGCCTCGGTTTCCCTATCTGTTAAATGGGAACAATATATTGACCCATTTTCTTGCTTTATTAATCTATCTACCATGTTTCTCAGCTATTTATTAGAGTGAGGAGGGAAAGTTTTCTTGTCCAAACTCAGGACAAAAAGTCAAAATCTTGTAAATGTTTCTGAACTGCAAATCCAAAAAATAATTTCCCTTTGGTTCAAGTTGAAACCAGTTCATACTGATAATTTTGATTTTTTTTGTTTTGATTTTGACCTGTGTGGGGTTGTTTTTTTTTAACTGCAAATTACATTTCTTAGACTAAGTGGACTTTTTGTTTCAAGAATGTCACATTGAGAGGTTTGGATGATGTAATTTTCAATGGAAACTTTAGGAGACTCAATCCTCTACTGGAAAAGGTTTTGGTTTTGAAAAATGGGCCTTTCTCAACAAGAAAACTTTCTGTCAAGAAATTCCAGGCCAACTCTCACATTTAACAGTCTGGGATGGGATTTTTCAAAGTGGCTCTGCATTTACCTAATCTAAGGCTAAATCTAAACTATGTGGATTTATTGGGAAAAGCTACACAAATTGTGCTCCGCAATTTGCGTAGCTTTTTCCGATTGCTTTTCCGAAATAGGCTTTTCCGCCATTTGGCCCAGTCTAGATGAGGCCAAATGGCGGAAAAGCCCCTTCGTTCGGCAGAGCTCTTATACCTCGTGAAACGAGGTATACAGGACTCCCCGAAAGTGTGTGTTTGCTCTTCCATAAAAAAAAAGCAGAAGAGCAAACGCGTTACTTGGAATAAAGAAAAATGAAAGAGATGGAGTTTTAAAAAAACAACAAAGTTTAAGATGCAGAAGCTGTAGTGATCTTAAAGAAGAGACTGTTACCACAGAGAAATTCATGCATGATACTGAATTCCCTTTGTTATACTAAGCTACTTCAGTTCTGAAGATTAACAAATCGGTCTGTGTTCGCAGAGTGTGTAACAAAGTGAAGCTATGTTGTGCTACCAGACTTTAAGCCAAACTCCATATTATTTCATTGAAGAGATCTGCTTAAAAATCCTGGCCCAATCAATCCCACAAATGATCCATTGTTCTGACCTTTGCAAATGACTCAAGCTTGGATAGTTTGTAACATGATAAATTAGCAGGCATCTCTGTGAGGTTCTCACCTTTGTGGCATGTCTAAACGGGTTGTGGTGGTAGAGATGTGTAAAGGGTTACTAAATATTTGTCATTTGGACACCTCTGTCATTTCCTCAGGCATAGTTCTTTGTAGGAGGATAATGAAGAGTAACAAGTCTCCTGTAATGCAGTCTGCCCCTGAATCAGGGAGTTGTGTTCTGCAGGTGACTCCTCTGTGGTCAAAGTCTGAGGAAACGAATAAGGGGAATGATGCATTTCTTTACAAAAAACATTGTAGCCTGATTATAGAGCCAAATAAAAATTTACTGACTTTATCTTGTGTCATCAAATTAACAGTTCTTACACATCAGTTGAAGAGGCTAGAAGGGACTTGTTAGGGCTTCTATCTTAAAAGGGCTATCAGGAAGTTTTGCCCATGTCATTTTTATCTGCTAGACAATGGGGAATCAAGCTACTCGTGTATTAAGGCCAGAAATCGTTTCTCAGGATGACACAATCTCATTTTTCTGAAGAACTTCTGACCTAAGACAAAGCATTGTTTGGTGTTCGATGCTAAGCACTGAGCAGGCCTTTGCATGCTTAAATGATATCCATTCTTCCCAAGCACAATCCTGCAGGGTCAGATTTCAGCTGCTCATCGAATTATATGTATTTGTCATGGATCCACAGCTACAAAGATTAGAAAATGAACAGGTACGGGGTCTTTCCTCCAGTGTCAATCAGCATAGCTCGATGGGGTTCAACCTGTAGGTGACTTCGGTGGCACTTCGCCGATTTACACCAGGTGCAGATCTGGCGGCTAGTTTCTAATCGGCAAATGCCGGTTTGATCCAGTAGAATTTTCAGGTTTTTTGCAAGGGAAGAAATCTTGAGGGGAGGGGAAAGTGAAGCGATAATGAGCTACTGCATGATCAACTGCAAAAAAGGTATAAAAGATATAGACCATTAGAAAAGAAAAAAGCCTTAAATGCTATCTGATATTTTAGCTGAAAAGGGCTTTATTAAGTTTTTTTTTAAATCTACATTGCACAATATAGAGTATCCAGTCCTGTAGATTTCCACCGCAAACTCCTCTGAAGTAAACTACAAAGGATTGTGATGTTTCTTCTTTCAGACTTTTTCTTATATGAACTTTTTTTTTTAAGGCGCCATATCCCAGTGAACAACCCTCCATTTCTTTTTCTTGCTGAAACTGCAGATGTACATTATGCTAGTGTGAAAAAAGCTAATTAAACTGCATAGACTCTGCAGGAGGCAGCGAAGGCCTGCAGTGCACAGGGGATGATTGATTTGGACTGTCACACAGCTCCGCTGGGTGTCATAACTTAGTGACAAATAAAGGATTACAGTGTCCCAGAGTAACTCTCTCCCTTTTATTGTTCACCAGACATCAAAGCACGAAAGCATATTAGCATTTTTAATAAGTAGTTAGGTCAGCCAGGGCTTACAGTTTGGAATTACTTTATGTAAAACTAAAAAAATGAAAGAAAACCCAAACTTATTGGTAGATTAAAAAAATGGAATGCCCACAAGGCAGGCGCGATTCCTTCATTGCTTTCAATTGCAATTGCATTATTTGCCTCAAACAGGCAGGGAATGTGTCTTTCCCGATCATTGTGAGCTGGATGGCTAACTGGAGCGGGGGAGGGAGAGAATAAGAGTTGCACACATTGAATTCAAAAACGATTACGGAACTTTTTAATTCTAGAGATGCGGGTGGCACATTACTTGTTCATTGTTCACAAGGAGCATATTGTTTTCCTCTTACAATTTAGTGCTATAAAATGTTTGTTTTAAAAGTACCTTCTCTTGAATGAGCAGAGATCCCTGAAAACTCAAGTGCAAGTTTTTTATTTAAAAAATATAATTTGAGGGTGTTTACCTTCATTAAATAGACTTTGGATATGAAATTGTAAACTGAGACAGAATAGTGAAGTTCATTTCCTTATCAGTAATGCTATTAGCTCAGCATAACTGCTAACGTTTTTCTTTGAAGTGGGCAGAGTCCTTTTTGATCGTGCTGTTCTGTTCCACAGAACTAGATGAAATGATGTGATTACAATATCATTTGCATACGAGATGTCAATTCTGTATTGGTCTTTTGAAGCACTGTGTATATAAATGTGTGTGTGTGTGTGTGTGTATACACAGAGATGTAACTAATATCTATAAATGTTTTACACACACACACACACACACACACACACACACACACACACAGACACACACACAGTGTAATGATAGTAATGCTCCAGTTAAGACTGAAATAATATGTTCATTTTTAAATACAAATTATCAGCAACACCACAACTTGCAGCTATCAAAGATCTATCATAATTTTTCCATGTTAGAGCATATTCCCAGGAATGCATATCATAAGATGCTTATAAATGCTGTATGAAGCTCAGACTAAATCTTTATATACAAGGTCTGTGGCCAGAAACACCCTTCTTTACAGCACAATTGGAAAAGAGAAGACTGAGAGGGGACATGATAGCAGTTTTCAAATACCTAAAAGGATGTTACAAGGAGGAGGGAGAAAAATTATTCTCCTTGGCCTCTGAGGATAGGACAAGAAGCAATGGGCTTAAATTGTGGCAAGGAAGGTTTTGGTTAGACACTAGGAAAAACTTCCGAACTAGCAGGGTGGTTAAGCACTGGAATAAGTTGCCTAGGGAGGTTACAGCATCACTGAAGATACTTAAGAGCAGGCTAAATAAGCAATCAAGGATGGTCTAGATCAGGGGTGGGGAA